CCAAAGTTTCAGAAAGCAGCGTGGGATAAAAAAAATAATAAAAAAGAACTTTGCACTTCCCAACTTAGAGGATAAATGCAAGTATGGACATGAACAAGTGGGAGAATGATGCAATTAAACAGCACAGACCTTGTAATCCCTTCAACACGAGTACATCTGTCAACAGGCTTTTTCATGTCAGCCATAAAACACATACATATACTTCTATTCTATAGTGCTGCAAGATTTAATATATGAAATGTTGGCATTTTTTTAGGATCTAAGGGTGGAATTTTATCCATGAGATAGGAAGTATTCATCAGTTCAATCTTTGCAATACATATTTATCTTATGTGATGTGGCTTTATCCCTGTTAAACTTACGTGCTACTGTCAACCCTCAATGATTTAACTGATTTTCATGGAATTTCTCTCTTTTTACAGTAAAATTCTAGAGCAGAAACATGTCTTTTTATTTGTTTATGTAGAGCCATCATGCTGGAGACCCTGCTAGTCCTCTTCCTTAACACAGTTTAAAGAAAGAGGTCGTCAAGGATGGAGACGACTGAGAAATCCAAGTGCAGCCTTTATCTTCTTTCCCAAACACGCAAGAACCCATCTGTTACTGAAGAGAAAAGGGAAAGCCTTTGCAGTTGTTCTGGACAGACTAATTGTACAGTGGCCAAAAAGAGACTATTGAAGCCTCTCGTTAAAGAAAAAGGAAGTTGTTGAATCTCTGGTAAGGCCCACACAGCTGACAACATGGATCCAAGGGAAACGTCTGCTTAGTTGAAGAACGGCTGGAGAACCTCTCATCCAAGGGAGAACCTGAAGCTTAAGTGTGTTGTGCCCCCAGGTATGTGGCATGCCCCACCAGGAGATGGGAGGGAAAATAAAGGACACCAAAAGAAAGGATAAAAGGGAGGAGAACTAACCACAGCCAGGAATAAACTGTGGGAAAAGGAGTGATTTACCCAAGTACGACCCATAGCACAATCCAAAACACGGCATCAGCCCAGACAATTCCAAAAGCCAGAAAGTGTGTGAGAGCTACTTAACAAAGACTCAGTAAAAGGGTGGAGAGAAGCATCTTTATGCCATTCCCCCTTTATTTAGTGACATTGTTGCACATACAGATAAAAAACAACACTTGCCATTTCTTAGAGTTGGAAGTTTAATCGAGTTCTTCAAACACACATTAAAAATACAAGTCTGTGCGTGGTTGAATCATGCGGTTTCCCAGCAGGTTCCTTGAATTAACAGATTTCAACAGAAATTGAAAAGGATTTTAAATTACTTTTTCAGTCAAAGGTCTCTCTACTATTGGAAATTCCAATCTGGAGGATTGTATTAGCAATTTAGCATAGATTGCCAAAGGGAACTGTTGAAGTCTCTTCTGCAAGCATTTGTCTGTTTATGGGTATTTCACTCCTGATATGTACAAATTCTGATTTCTTGAATAGGAACTCCTGGCCAGCAACGTACCTCGAAGCTCTACCTCATTTCTTATGCTCTTACGCTCCACTTGTAAATGATGGAATTTATCTCAAACCTTTCTGGCTACCCTAATTTGATAGAACCACAGAATAGTAATAGTTGAAGCATGAAGGGACCTCATCAGATTGTCTAGTTCAGGCCCCACCCAGTTCAAAGACAGGTCAACTACAGCAGGTTGCTCAGGATTGGATCCGGTTGGGTTTCAGGGATCTCCAAGGCTGAAGACTCCGCACCTCTGGGAAACCAATTTCAGTGTTTGACCCCCTTCACTGTTAAGAAATTATTTCTTATTTAAGAGAATTTTCCTGTCTTTCAATTTGTGCCCGTTGCCACTTGTCCTTTCTGGGCAGTGGTGAAAAGATGCTGGTTCTGTTGTCTTTTACTGCTTCGCTTTTGGTATTTACACGTATTGATAAGATCTCCTGAGCCTTCTCTCCTCCAGTTAAACAATACCAGCTCTCTCAGTCTCTCCTTGTATGACACATGCTCCATTCTCTCAATTATCTTTGTGACCCTTCAATGAACTTATTCCAGTACCTGCATGTCTCTCCCGTTCTGGGGAGCCTGGAACTGGACACAGCACTTGAGCTACGGTCTCACCAGTGCTTCACTAGAGAGAAAGAATCCCTTGCTGGCAATGCCTGGGATGTTGTTGGCCACCTTTGATGTAAGATTGTTGGCTCATGGTCAACTTTTCACCCACCAGGAGCCCTGGGTCCTTTTCTGCAGGGCTATTTCCAGCCATCAATGTATACTAGTGCATGGTGTTAATGCTCATCTCCTGCAGAACTTGGCATTTCCCTTTGTTGAACTTTGTGAGGTTCATGAACAGGAGCTGGCCCATTTCTCCAGCCTCTCAAGGTCTCTCTGAATGGCAGCACATCTATCTGGTCTATCAACTGCTCCTCTCAACTTTGTAAATGCAAACTTGCTGAGGATGCACTCTGTCCCCATCATCCAGGTCCCTCATCTCCTGCAGAACTTGGCATTTCCCTTTGTTGAACTTTGTGAGGTTCATGAACAGGAGCTGGCCCATTTCTCCAGCCTCTCAAGGTCTCTCTGAATGGCAGCACATCTATCTGGTCTATCAACTGCTCCTCTCAACTTTGTAAATGCAAACTTGCTGAGGACGCACTCTGTCCCCATCATCCAGGTCCCCAATGAAGAGGTTAAGCAGTACTAATCCCACCATCAACCCCTGTGGTACTGCCCTAGGGAGAGGCCTCCAGCTGGATTTCATGCCCAGCCCAACCCTTGGAGCTCAACAGTTCAGCCAGTTTTCAGTCCACGTCACTCTTCATTTGTTTAGTCTGTACTTTATTAGTTTGTTGATGCAGATGATATGGGAGACAATGTCAAAAGCCCTGCTAAAGTCAAGATAAACAACATCCACTCTCTCCTCTCATCCACAAAGCCAGTGGTTTCATCACAAAAGGCTACCAGATTGGTCAGGCATGGTTCCCCCTGGTTATATCCAAGCTGACAACTCCTAATCATCTTGTCCATGATATATGTGAAAATAGCTTCCACAAGAAGTTGCTCTATGACCTTCTCAGGGGTTGACGTGAGGCTGACAGGTTCGTTGTTTCCTGAATTCTCCTTCTTGTCCTTCTGGAAGGCAGGTGGGATATTTGCTTTCTTACAGTCCCCAGGAATCTCATCCAATTGCCATGACCTTCCAGATGATGTCATTGAGAGCAGCCCTGCACGCATGGGTGAATCCCACCAAATCCTACGGACTTGTGTATACTCTACTTGTTTAAATGTTTCCAAACTCGATCCTTCTCGATTGAGGTTATGTCTGCAGAGCTCCAGATTTTTCCACTGATCTCTCCACAGCCTGGGATCCCTCAAAGCAAATCTTACCAGTAAAAACCAAGGCAAATAATTTCGTTCTGCAGTATAAATAACTCAGTTTTACTTTTGCTGTAGTATTTCTTGTATGTGTACAAGTAGCAGCAAATAGAGACAATGACTGTGTGTTGCCTCTTGAGCAACCTGCACCTGAACGGTATCTATCTCAAACTGCTGTTCTTAGTGGTGAACCATATATGGATACAAAAAGATAAAAAACCGTTAGAAGTAGCTGAGGGCATTTTCCTGCAGAATCATATTGTGATATTGGCAACATAAATCTGGTCTAGGGAAAGAAAGAAGAATGACAAATCTCTTGCAAAACTGGAACGGTATTTTAACAATCATAAAAAAGACAGATTCCTCCTTGTGGAAAGAATATGAGGAAAGCATTTTTTTCTCCAAACAAACCCCATAACTTTTATACCTAAATACTGGAGATAATGCAAGAACGAAAGCAATCATCTTCATGCCTTCAAGAACTGAATTTTGAAGCTTCTGATCAAATTCCTGTTATTGTATTGTTAAGGAAGTGGCCTCGTTCGCTGAACTGAAGCGATTCTGGTAGAGCTTCCTGTTTAAAGCAGCAGGGAGTGCAGCCCCGAGAACATCAATCACACGGCTCATGATATTAACTCGACTGGAGCACTGCAGGAACAGGCCTCCAGTCAACTTCAAGGCTCCCCTGCAACGTTATATACTGCAGTGTCCCAAAGTTAGTATTTCTTTGCTGCCCCACAGTAAGTCTCTAATAGGAACAGGTAGAGTTAGGAAGAGATGGAACAACCGTGCAGTGCCGGGGAGTGAGACCAGGGGTCTGCCCTCCTCTCTCCCATCTGTCACAAAAGGTGCAAAAAATCGGAGAAATCAATGACATCATAACCTACACATAAGTTCCTTCCACAGAAGAGACAGCAACTGCTTGACTTAATAACTAGAAGTCCAAGGCATAAAGATTTATATCCCTTCTAATTTTAAACTTTGTCTACCGCTGCGGGTATTTTTTTTTAATGGTTTTTATTTTCTGGTAATGATTTCCACAGAATAACTTTGTATTTCTAAATTTGTTGTCTGAGTTAGTTACATTCTTTCATGGATTCTCACTTTAATGTGGTATTTTTAGAAGAAAAACACGAACAGTTAAGCTCTTCATTGTTCTCTCAATTTTGTAATAATTGTACTTCACATTTAAACACGACAAGGAGATATAGCCAGTGCTCCTATGAAATCTTTCATACTGACAATTCCTTATTAAAAGTAAACATAATCATAATTTGTCAATAAAAAATGTCCAAACTAGGAGCGGGATGAAACAAACCAAACGCAACATGTCAGACAGATATGTGCTCTGCAAGAAAGCCCTGTGGACAAAATGTTATGAAAGGGACTATTCTGATCTCTGTAACAGAGTAGAGTAAGTTGATGTTCTGAACAGTTTTTGCTCTGTGCAGACGTGTACCTTCATCTTCATAGAAGTGCTGAAGGTGTTACCAACTTAAAGCAAGAGATGGAGTACTGCCTGTTCCTTCAGGCTGTTTAATCTTTCGCAGTTCTAAATATCCTCCCCCCCCAATTAAAGTACAGTTTAGAAACATGTTAAATTTACTACCACCATAAATACCAATTTCAAAAATTGTGGAGGACATAACAGCCGAACTCTGCTCTTACTTCTAGTTTAGGGGGTCAAAAGAATGAAGCACCATATAAAATACAGCAGGATAAATGTATCTAATGTGATAATTATTTAACTGAACTGACAAGGAAAATATTTGAATTTATATGTATCAATTCATATACTCAATTTACTGAAATGCTTCTTCAGTTTCCTAGATGGGTTTTCTGAAAAAAAAAAAAAAGAAATTTATATCCTAGAGCATTTCAGGTTCATATAATGCCATTGTAGAGACATTGCTGTTTGACTGAATGGATGAACAAACTCATGGCTTTACTTACGCAAATAACATCGCTTATATAAAGGAACATATATCTGAGCTTGCATATGACTTGAAGTAACTCTCAGAAACATGAATACTAATATGAATCTTTGGCCACTGTTCCCAGAATGTTACTCATTCAAGCTTTGGGTGTGTTGTGCTGAGGATTACATTATTATGACTATTATCTATGGTGGTTTAGCCCTAGCTGGCAACTGGGCACCACACAGCTGCTTGCTCAGTCCCCCCGCTGGGATCGGGGAGAGAATTGGAAGAGTAAAAGTGAGAAAACTCGTGGGTTGAGATAAAGACAGTTTAATAAGTAAAGGAAAAGCCGCGCACACAAGCAAAGCAAACCAAGGAATTCCTTCACTACTTCCCCTCGGCAGGCAGGGGTTCGGTCGCCCCCAGGAAAGCTCCATCACACCTAAGGGTTACCTGGGAAGATAAACACCCTAACTCCACGTCTCCCCTTTCCTTCTTCTTTCCCCTGCGTGTGACATCACATGGTATGGAACAGCCCTTTGGCCAGCTGGGGTCAGCTGTCCCAGCGATGGCCCCTCCCAACCTCTCGTGCACCCCCAGCATACTCGCTGGTGGGGCGGTGCGAGGAGCAGAAAAGACCTTGACTCTGTGTAAACCCTGCTCAGCAGCAATTAAAACATCCCTGTATTATCAACACTGTTTTCAGGACAGATCCAACACACGGCCCCACACTAGCTACTATGAAGAAAATTAACTCTATCTGAGCCCAAACCAGCATGCTATCTCACAAAGTTGTATTTGGACAATACCTACATGCTTGCAGAGGGACTTAGCAGAAGGGACATCAAGCTAAGATGCAACAAAAAAAATCAAATCTCAATGAAGTATTTTTATGGTCAGTGGCTGACCAGTATGAGGCTCCAGGACCATTTGCTCTCAGGTCTCTAGATGTTCAAGTTGAGCACAGCTTCCCCTATCCTGCTGCTCACAAAAGCAAAGGCTTTTACCTACTAGATCAGATGGCAACAGTTTCTTGCTTGTCGTACCAAGGCAGGGGAGGCACTGGGGAAGCAGGGGGGTCCTGGAACAATTGCAGAAACGTTCAGGCTCTGACCCAGTGACAAGTTCAATTGCACTGGGCTGTTCCGGGCTGCGACTGACAGGTCTGACATCCCAAGTACCTGCTTCCCATTCATTACCTGACACTCAGCCCCATTCACTCGACACACACCACCAGTTTTGGCCCCTAAACGGTCTGGCATGACTTACTGGCTGGCAGCGAGGAGGAACCTCAAGCTGTGCTCACTGATGCTGTTGGAGTTAGAAGTAGCAAGGGAGGAATTTTAAGAACAGGATCCTCAGAACTGTGTGTGGAGAAGGAGATAGTGGGAATGGTAAAAGGGGTGGGAATGAAGTGTCATATGAGCAAATGTTGGTATATGCAATTTTTATAAAGAATTTAAAATGAAAGGTAGACAATAAAGCTAAGAAGATGCACAGGCACCGAAGACATCTTAGAGCAAAAATTTACAAAATGTTCCAAAAATAGGAGGGCAATTTAAGCTCAAATGAATGCACAAGGACTAACTCCAGAAACCTGTAAAGGGAAAATTCCTACTTCTTACTCAACAAAAAGGATCAGGATTGAACATGGTAATTCATAAGAAGAGGGAGAACAATCCAAATCTAAGTAGCAATGACCATATGGACTGAGAAAGCTATTTAGGGCGAGCCAGTCCTGGGGAACAGAAAAAGAAAATTCCATAGTCCTCCCTTTCTCTCCCTTAAGTTAACTGTGAACCTGAAGCAACTGAAAAGAAAACTTATTTGGGAAGCTTAATTTTAAATTGCATTTTTGTTATTTACTTTGCACCCCCTCCTACACGTCAACCTTTGCTCTTAGAATAAACTCACTTTACTCTGGAAGCTTGTCTTGGCATTAAAAGCAACTCTTAAGCAACTCTGGGATGAATAAGGCGTATTATTTCAGAAACAATTAATCCAAATAAAGAAGAGCCTTAGCCCTACCTTGTTGCACTCACCTAAGGCAAGTGGGAGGAACCTTGGGAACCGAGCTCTCTAAGAGGCAAGGATCAGCTGGAGAACCTGTAACATCAGATATCGAGAAAAGTCAGCTCTCCCCTTTCAGCCAAGGAGACATAATACAAAGACAGCCCCGAAACCTGAGAAACTTGTTAAAAGCAGGTATTTCCATGCCCTGCTGTTACAGTATGACAGGAAATTAAACTACCTGATGTATTCACTGTACATTTACTCAAATGCATTTAATATGAATGTACTTTTATTTTATAGTTAAATCAATAAAAAAGGTAGAGTTGTCAGTTCTTTACTACTGTTCTATAGTCGTAGGTTCCTTGCAAGGTTATCACCAGCCTCTCCCCTCCACCGTATTTCCCATAGCCTGGTAAATACTTAATGAAGCTCAAAACAACTGTTCTTAAACTCATAACTTAGCTTTGAAGTTCACTGCTTTTGTTTCAGTTCTGACAAAAGGGCTTCTATTCCCCAAACTTTTCAGCCAGAGTGGCAATGATACTCCAATGGCATGTGGCACTAGTTATTCCACTTTGAAATGCTGTATACTATCAGTTTGCACTGTTTCCCTTAAAGAATTTGAGAGTAGAATTTCCTTTGAAAAGCCAACTCACTCATTTATAAGAGTAACTTCTTGTTGAAGTCAGTTGGTTTGTCCTTGTCATGAAAGCAGGAAGTTCCTTTAGCAAGGAAATTATCATTTCTAAGATCTATACCTGAGAGTTGATATTTACAGCTGAACAGTAAAGTGAGCTTTCAATCATCCCTCTTTACAAGCTCTGCCTGATTTTGTTAACATTGTGTTAAAATGGAAAAAAAAATAATGGTCTGAGCTGAACATGAGTCCGTGTTTCCGAGAGACACCAATGCACTTCCCCATCAGAGAATCTGTGAATGCTTAGAGGAAAGAAAGTTGGTCCAAATCAGTTTTACGATAGAAATCATTTACTGCCTTAAAAGCAGAGAAGCTTGGGAACTCTCAGAGCAGCTCTAAGACCTACACAAAATAATAATTCAAATATCTAAAGCCAAAGTGTTCTTCTAAAAGAGCCCAGGGATATTAGCGAACCTGTAGATCTGCAGACTGTAGAAAGTTATTTGTATTTTTCCTAATAAGTAGAGCACCAAACAAATGTTCCTTGAGCTGCCAATCAACAGCTGCATCATGAAGAGTTCCTACTAATATAAACAGGAATCACCCTGGGCACTAAATTACTAATATAGCAGAATTGACTAATTAAAGATTATATTAATTCAGAAAACAGCTGATGGATGTGAGGCTTATTGTGCTGTACAGAATATTTGACTGCTTTGGAGGAAGGACTAGATAAAGTTACAAATGCCAATATTTCAACAGTAGATTTTTTATGGAATTAATTCAGTTTGACTGGCACCAGCTTTTGCAGAAATATTCAATGAAGTCACAGATATTTTAGGCTAAGCAAAGCCCAAACAAAAAAAAGGTAAGTCTCAAATAAGACTTTACTGTCAAAAAGTGATAGCTAATACTGAAACCCATTTTCCTTTCCATCTATTTTGCTAAAAGGAGTTTCAGTAATTGTTCCTGTTTTCTGACTGTGAATGTGTTCCCAAAACAACCTTATCAAACAAACAGAGGAACAAGAACTGTACACAATGGTGCATCTAGTAACTCTGTCCCATTGTCCCTTCCTGTCCTCTGCCACAGCTCTCTTTTTGTTCTTTACTGAATAATGTCATATGGGAAGACTGGTATGGTAAACACCTGAATATCTTAAATTGTCATTCAAATAAACAAAGTTCACAAGAAACCTCTAGTGGTTGTTAAATCATTCTGATAGATGAAGTAATCTCTGTAGGGCTGAGAGATGTCTTTGTGATTATTTTTATACCTAAGAACTATGAGCACTTATGGGACCATAAAAACTTAATGGCAGAACATCAGGAGAAGTTCATGCTATGCTAAGCCACTCTCCAGGGATTATTTAAATCAACACGTCCTCCTGCATTTTGACTGACAGCCTTTGGTGGAAAGAATTTCCTTGTGGAAGTACCACTTCTCGTTCACTTGCACGCAAATATTAAAAGCAGTAGGAAAGTAAGTGATGTTTATTGAAAACTGTGCCACTTACATGAAATTTTATAGATTCCCTACTCCGGATACATTACCTTCTTTGTATCACTCGCCAGCCTTCTTTTCCACAGTATCATTTAGCTTTCAGAACTAATTGCACTGTTACCCTGTCAATGGGATGTGAAATGCTACCTGTTGCCACCCAACGTTTCATCTTCCCCCCCACAACATAGTATTCTCACACTGGCAGGAAAAAATGTAAAACCAAACATAATGACATCTTCTTTCAAAAAAAAAAAACAACAAAAAAAAACAGGAAAAGAAGATGACTTAGTTTTACTGCAGTGCCCATGAAAGCCCTTACCATACATTTTACAGCAGACATCAAAGACAGACTACTTTTTCTGGCAGAAATTGCTTATTTTTCTGTTACTTTGTTCCTGGCCAACATTTGTATGCTTCATTTTTAATTGTGAACATAGATTTTGAGCTCTGTGGGGCAGGACCCCTTTCGTTCTTTCATGTAACCAATCTCCCCTGTCACTACAAAAGGACTACTGTTTTGTGAGTATTTTCAAGATCTCTTTCTTTGACATTGTCTTCCTCAACACGCACCTTCCTAAATAAGAGCACAAGAACATCATCCCAAACCACCACATTTCTCCAATGGAAACTTGTGAAAGATGTAATTATGTAACTTAACGCCATAGCTGCAAACTATTTATAATGATACTGTGATTTACACTATAGATCAATGTACCTTTCAAGTATGAACTCCTAAGATCCTAGAAGTCATGTGGGGAAGCATATTTTTGTACGTTCTGAGCACCGCATGAACACATAGACTGAAAAAAGAATAAAAAAATACCAGAAAATCAAGGGCTTTTTCGAAAACCAACTGACATTTACGCAGTGATATCATGAGCTTGTTCTCGGGCATTTTGTTAATTGAAAGGAAGGAGTTCATTCAGTAGGTCAATTATTTACTGTGAATATTTCATGGAAATCTCAGCAACACCACCTCCATGGATTTATATAGATGTACCAGAAGCATTTCTTGTGACTAGACTATGATTCAGAATTAACTATTGGCCTTTTCTAAAGCAGCTCCTTTGTGGCCTCATTTGAGAAAGTTTAGGTTCAGATTTCCAAAGATTTGTGTGAAGGTATAGGTTTCCTCACTAAAAGAAAATCAGATAAAATGAGCTTAGTCTTTATATACGTATGTATAGAGTAATGCAGACTGTGATGAGCCTAGTGGCACTGCACTCCTATGAAGTTACTCAGATGTATACATAATTTGCAGGTTTAGATTTAAGGGACTGATTCAGAATTAATTGGGAAAGGTGGTTTTTTTTTTCCTCCCTTTCTGAAATCAGCTCTCTTTGCTTTACTACAAAAACATCGTGCTATTGCTTCAGAAGCTGCAGATGCTACCACAATTGTAATTGCCTGTCATGCAGTGAAGAAATCTAATTAAAACCACTTATTTGTACCTATTAACCAGTCTCTTTAAATGCAGACAAAAGACCTTACCACAAGCTAAAACATAAGTACAGAGTGTGGTCTGCAATTCAATAAGAGAAACAACGGATGTTTTTGGCTAATTACACTTACCTCCATTTTCCTGCTACTACCAATTAGCATTAACTGTGAACTTAAATGGCTATGTAAATCACTATACCTCGCCACTACTCCAGGCACAGTTCAGACTGTTAGCAAGATATTGGACGAGACACTTTGTCTTTCACATACTTAAAATGGTGAAATTTTTGTATTGAGGGTAAATTACTGATCACAGCATGGCTTAGAGGTAAATATACAATAATTACATTAAAAAAATATTAAACTGCAAGGAATAACCTGCAGTTTTCTCAAGAGACCAAAGATTCTCCAGCAGTTTTATAGATAAGAACAGTATATTCCTTTGGGGGCTCCTTCACCGCATCATTTAGAACAACTACAGTTATTTCATGAGATAAAACTAAAAACTAACACAACAGAAAGCTCTAACGTAAAGGAGGCAGGCAGGGCACTAAGCCAGAATGACTTAGTAAGTAGCCTATTGCACAAGTTCACCTGGCAGAGTTTGCTGCACTTCCTAACGTGAAGCCTTCACTCTGTTTCACACTGGGTAGTGCTGCCGGGGCAGGTGGAAGAGTTGTGCTGCCAGTACCAGTTCATTGCCACCAGCAGCACCACATCACTTCTTGCTTTCTTTAAGGAAACCGCTGCTGGGCTGAACCCACCGAAAAAGCACACACACTTGTACCATTTCAGGTTTCTGTATTTAAGAAAGAGGCCATCAAAAAACTAAAAACTATGGGTTATAGCTATGACAGACAAACTTCCTTAAGTCAAGGGGTGACTGGAAGAACAGAGGTTTTTTAATCCATTTTTTTTTTGACTTCTTCAGGGTGGCGGGCCACCCTCATGCCCTGCCCGTATCCATCCATCACCCACCATTGTGTAGGCTGAATGCCTCTGTTCTGCCGGAGGGGAGATGGTTAGGAGCAGAATGGGGGGCTGATCTCTTCCTCACCTCAACCTCCCCCTCACCTCAACCTCCCCCTCACCTGTGCCCACACGGTTTCCCGCCATCCTCAGCGACACACACCTCCACAGCTGTAGCCTGGACTCACCGCCGCCTGGCACCGACCCCTCCAGCGCTACCAGCACCCCGCTGCCTCACGGAGCTCTCCCGCCTGGCTGCCCCCGCCTCCCCACCCCGCCAGGGAAGGTGTCGTTTCCCCCTCAGGTGCCACCATCCGCGCTCCCACCCCGCGCCCTCACACCTCGCCGCCACGGCCAGGCGAGGAGCGGCGAGGAGCGGCGCGGGCGGGCCCCCACAGCCCCGCAGCGCCGCCTGGTGCAGGGCGAGGCCGCGCCCGGGCCCTGCGCGGTAACCTGCGCGCTGCGCGCAGCGTCTGCCCCGCCTCAGCACGGAGCGGCCGCCGCCGGGCCGCCTCCTTTCCCTCGCCGTCCTGGCCGCCCCGTGATCTACCTCACCGACCCCTGCCCGCCCGGGCACCATCTCCCCCTTCCCGACCCCCGCCCCGGGCCGAGGGGAGTCGCCTCGTCCCGCCCACCCTCGCCGAAGGGGCGGGGATTGGGCGAGCCCGCCTGTC